CGAGCTCAACATCGGAATTTAAGGTCAGAATATTGATTCAATAATTGAAATACATTCTTTTTTAAGTTTATACACATTTAATAAAATCCACCAAAAAAAATTGAAAATACATTTTTTATAATGATGAAGTTGTTTACTTTTCACAAATTTGAAATTTGTGGGGATTCACCATTTAGGCCTATGCCCTAGATCTGCGTTGAAGAAAACATCTAAAGGAGAGCAAAAAACAGTTCTAAAATTTACGCAGATATCGAAAAGGAATGGATACCACATTGGGAAAAAAATGTCTCATGTGATGTGAATTGAGACGATTTTGGCTTGCTCTGTCGTTTTAATCATTGTACTATCTATGACACTGAAATTGTGAGTGTAAACAGCATTCAATATACAGTAGTTGGTTTGGCTTGCTACCTCCGCCACCGAATGTAAATGAATTTGAGCCAGTGTTGTTTTTTTTTTTATATTATTTATCATTTCCGAAATTTCTATGTCATCACAAAGAGGGCTAGTAAAATAAAAATGAAATGAAAATAAAAGGTTCATAGTCATACACAAATTAATTTTAAAACGACGATCTGTTTTTTTTTCTTCTCCGCGGTAAGAAAACCCGGAAGCCTAATGTACAGTAAAAGAGTTTGGGCGATGTATATCGTCATCACCTGAGCATGTGGTGGAGGAGAAATTTCTATTATCTTATTGGCTAACATGTGATTTGGAGGCGTGGCTTCTTTGATGGACTCACCCAGACGCGACTGCCGAACTTTGAACTTTAACTTTGTTTACACCGCGAGTTCATGAAATGGAGTCTGAAAATTGGGTAGACATTTTTTAACGAACTTTCTACAGAAAGGAACATCGAAATGAGTGCATACTATTGCAAATTAACTTCGTGTAGGTAAATATGGTTCTTTACAGGCCTGTTGCGTTATTTATATTGGTGGTTTTTGTATTAATTTTTGTACAGCATTGATTGAAGTAGCCGGCGAAAACATCGTAGTAGCCGATCGAATGCGCCGGCCGCCGGCTCTTAAATAAACCCCTGAGTCCTGTAACCTACCCTCTACTCGCATCTCCAATCACAGAAAAGTAATTATAGGTAGCGCTTTTAATGTCGTCCCATGGCGAACTTTCGATGTTTTCACTTGTGAACCAGGACGTGGTTGTCGTGCCAACACCGTTGAAAATAATTGACAACAGTTCCTCATTCAATGCAGAAAATAACGTCAGTCTCACCTAGAATAGTAAAGAAATTAATACAAAATAAATGACATATTATGCTAATTTAATTATGCACGATAATAATGTTATAAAATTATTATATTACTTTATTTTAAATGTATATAAGCCTTCATAAAGCATTCAACAAGAGGGTTTAAACTTTAGAGTCCTTCCTCTGTTATGTTATTTGCCGTGCAATAAGAACTACTGCTGTTTAACTACGCATGTGCAAGAGTGTGAGAACAAGATGGTTTAATTTTTACAGAATAACAAGTATGTTATTATTAAATAATGCAATAATTTTATGCGATTTATAATTATAATGATTTAATAAGATGAGATATGGCATGAAATAACATCAATATAAAATGTATTATGATATGGCGACACCATACCCTGAAGTAGATATGAAAATTACTAAATGGATTTGCTATATTTTTTTAATTCCCGTACAACTATAATCGGTACTGGATTTGATCAGTAGGATTTTGTTTCATAATTCGAAATCTAAGCTTGACCTTTAGGTTGTGAGAAATATACGGACATTCTTGCCAATATTTCACACATACAATTTATATTCAAATTTGTGCACCTCAACCATCAAACCACAATTACACTTCTTAAAAATTACCTTAGTAATACCAAAAGCTGCCCAATTGGTAAATATAGCTTTGTTTCTGTAATGCGTATTGCTGAGGAGAAACCTGTGGGCGTGGTAATTGGACGATTCTGAACCGGAAATCCAAGCTTCGTAAATACTAGTACCACCTGTCGGTAGGCTGACCCCTTTGAATGCTCGAACCCATTCATTACCTTGTGTAAATAACATAAAGAATAGTTATGACACCAGGCTACTTATCTCGAGGTTGTGGGTTCTATTCCCACATTTTTTTCTCAAGTAGGCCTATTTGGGAACGTACTGAGTATTCAACGTCAACTTTGATTTGAAAGAAACAAAAATTAAGGAAAAAAAGTAAAAAATATTTAAGCAAGTTTGTATTAATATTCAAGTTTTTCTTTTTTTTTTTTTTGAGAAAAAACAAATCTATTCAAAATAGTATAATGAAAAATAATGTCAAACTACAAATTACTGTTTATGCAGCTTTAAAGGGACTAACCTTTAATGGATGTTAAATTATAAGAAAGTGTTATTATTATCATTATTACTATTAGTAATATCATAATGAAAAATAATGTTAAACTACGAATTACTGTTTATGCAGCTTTAAAGGGACTCACCTTTAATGGATGTTAAATTATGAGAAAGTGTTATTATTATTATCATTATTATTATTAGTATTATTACTATTACTAGTACTAATATTATTACTATTATTATTATTATTATTATTATTATTATTATTATTATTCAATGGCCTTTGTAATTACCGTTATGTCATTATTTCATGGGTTAAAAAAATGTTATTACACTAAGAAAAGAGAAATGAAATAAAAGTGGGTGTAACTCCCACAAAAGAGAGAAAAAAGGGGAGTATTCAACGTCATTATAACTCGTAGATTACAGTACATTCTTCAAGAGTATGCTAAGAAGGGGCCAACTGTACATTACAACTCGTGTAGACTACATCCTTCAATAGTATGCTAATAAGGGGCCATCTGTACATTATAACACGTATAGACTAAATCCTTCAAGAGTACCGTATGCTAAGAAGGGGCCGCTGTACATTATAACTCGTGTAGACTACATCCTTCAAGAGTATGCTACGAAGGGGCCAACTGTACATTATAACCCATCAAAATTACATCCTTCGAGAGTATGCTAAGAAGGGGCCAACTGTACGTTACAACCCGACAAACATCCTTCCTGATTATGCTAAGCAATTGCGTAACCGTTCAGCATTATAACGTTCACATAATATTACCAGGCAAAGGAGGGACAAGAATTGGGACAGAAGTTGAAAATCCAGGTCCTAATTGAAAAAAGGTACAATAGGGTGCGGACATATTTACAGTCATCAAAACGATTAAGGAAATGAGCTCTTCCCCCCCCCCCATCTTTATCCAATGGCGTAGCCCCGGGGTCTCAGTCCAAAGAGGTGATACAATATAAATTATTAGACCTCTACCTTGGCTAAAATTGCTGAGAAAAGAGTGTCAAGGTTCGTGATTGATACAATTAACCCTTTTATTAATCAACAACAATATGGAAATCAAAAAGGAGTGTCCACGACCCACTGCTTGATAGATGTTTATAACTTTTAAATGTCAAATTGTGAGAAACGAGGTTCAATATGCACTCTTGTTCTTACAGATTTTACCAAAGCTTTCGATTTGATCGATCACCGAATAGCTTTTAACTCTTTATATAACTTTGGTATCTCTCCATCTATCTTGCAGTGGGTCGTTGACTTTCTTTCAAATCGCAAACAGAGGAGCAAGTATAAAAACTGTTACTCTGATTGGGAAGTTTTAACGGGAGGTGTCCCGCAAGGGACTATCCTAGCACCAATCACTTTTCTTTGCATTATTAATTCTGCTCTTAATAATGTTCCTATTGATGGGGATGTTCATATCTGGAAATATGTTGATGACCTGACACTTGGAGAGAGTAGGTTGGTGGAGGGTCAAAGTTCCCTTCAAGCTAAACTTGACTCACTTTCTGTCTGGTCACATACCAACAAACTCAAACTGAACCCCTCCAAGGTTATGCAAGTCCATTTTGGCCGCAGTGATGTTCCAGATATGAACATCCACATATCCAATAACCGTTTAACGGTTGCTAATAACGTCAAACTACTTGGAGTAGTTCTAAGCAGTGACATAAAATGGGAAAATCATGTTGACCTAATGGTCAAAAAGGCTAATAGGAAACTATTCATGTTAAGACAATTAAAAGATGCTGGTTTCAATAATAATGAGTTGTTAATGAGTTGTTAACAGTCTACATGGGATACATACGGCCCACCCTAGAATATGCAGCTCCTCTGTGGTCTGGGGGACTTACAGTTTACCAAGAGACTTCTTTGGAAAGAATGCAAAAACGTGTATGTCGGTCCATTCTTGTAAACAATTATGTTGACTATCAGGATGCTCTCGAAAAACTTGGGCTGGAATCACTCGTACAACGTAGGATTTTATTATGCAAAAAGTTTGCTAAAAAAATTAGCAACGATAAAAGATTTAGCCACTGGTTCCCAAAATCTAAAAATATCTCATCAATGAAACTTCGTAAATATAGAAATTATGAAATGCCTTTCCTGACAACTGAACGTTTTAAAAATAGCCCCATCCCTTATGTAATGAAATTAATTGAAGGATAAATTTAATTTTGCAATTGCATATAACTTTGTGAAATTTTGAGCTGATGGTTTGGGTTCACTTTTTGTATTGTTTTTAAAATAGCCCCATCACTTATCAAATGAAATTAATTGAAAAATTCAAAATTGTTCATTTTTACCTTGTGAACTTTTGAACCGATGGTTTGGGTTTGCTTTTGTATTGTTTTAATGTGATGTTTTTGCTTTTTCTCGTTTTTGTTTTCCTTTTGTACAAAATACGCCAATTTAGAATTTTGCTACTAATGTATTTTTTTATGAAGGAGTTTTTTGAATAAAGATACCGATTATATACAATACAGTATAAATTCCCGACTTAAAGGTGTTCCACAGGTGTCTATAGTCTTCCTAAAATACATTAACTTGACCAAACAAATTTTAGTAAAAACAAAGGAATTTCTACTCTTCAAAAAGTTGACGTCAAATCAACGCACATGAGGAATCCCCGAATTGGTTGAATTAATTTTTGTAAACAAGTTTAGGGGGGATGGGGTTGACGTTCGTAGGCCCTAAATAGGTATTTAATTATAATTTAACCGTTCTTATTAAACGTAATTGAATTTGCTACACTAGTATGTATTTCAGTCATTAAATAGATTATTGAATCATTGAGAATATTTTGTATTGTTTTTACTCTACTCACGTCATTACCACAACGTAAGAGTGAGGCTGTTTATGAATTAAAGTATGGCTTCTTCAGGCTAAAGTAAACAAGGCTACGTTAACGTTAAAATGTTAAAAAGGCTACAGTACTGTTGATATTTTGAAGGTGCGCCTCCTTGGCCACTTTTGTGACAATCGTAATCGATTATTAAAATTCATGGGGCCAAACACTTAATCGCATCCGGGCCCCTTGACTCGTCGTCACGCCACTGCATTACTCCCACCCAAACTCTCCTCTGCAACCAAAGTTATTAGGCCTATCCTCTGAAAATCAAAATTCCTTTGAATTCATTAGAGGCAGATGATTCTCCAATTCATAACTTTGTCTCTCCAGCAAGGAGGAAAGTTCGAATGGTAGTAGGCCTACGCGAATGGTATACATTACACAGGAAGCTCAGAATGCGTTCCGTGGGATATAGCATTGGTGGTGATGATCACACAGAGCAAGCTGTATATAGACTGACATGATAATACAAATCGTTAATATTCAATGTTATGAAGTTTTTCTTTAATCCGAAGCCCTGATAACACTATCACGTTTTATTTTACAAAATGTGTGTGAATTGCCCAAATATTGGCATGATGATGTTATATCACATTCATATTATATCATGGGTAAAATTATAGCATACCATATCATCATACCCATATATGAGCTAAATCAGAGGTATTTGTCATACACTGTGTTTTGACAAGCTTTAGAAGTGACTCAATTACTTACCAATCCTACAGCCTAGAACTTCTACACGCATAGCAAGAAAGTTCTTCCATACTTTGACATTTATTTTTATAGAAACAGCTTGTATCACTGGGTTAAAATAATGCGTTCGTACACCATTCCTGTCCCAGTTTCCGTCAAACATCTTTAAATTAAATATAAGATATCATTATCAGTGACTGAAAGGGAATAACTTTCTTCAAAAAATGTTTATCTTTCAGAAAAAGGATTGGAAAATCCCCGAGCCGGCCACTATGGATCATAGGGCTGAAAATTATCACAAGTTTCTGATGAGAGTGTGATGCTCCACCTAGGTGGGATGCTGGTCCATCGCAGCTTACTCCCAGGAATTTGCTGATAGGGCCTATCCATTGATAGAGCTGAGCAGACTGAAGCATTGTAGATAGAATGAGTTGCTCAAGGAAACATGCGACATCCCGAGCTCGAGGTTGGGAAACCAAACCGTTTAGTGTGCATTAAAACCCCACCTCCTGGGGTGCACCCTGACATTCACCTTAAATGTGTTGTGTATTGTTATCCTCGCCTCTCCGAAGAAGAGATGATGTACTACCATCGCCTCTCCGAAAGAGAGGGATAGGGCACTGCAATATGCGTGTCTTTATTTGTGCGTGTGGGTGTGTGTGTGGGTGTATGCTGTCTCTTATACACATCTTCCAATAACCGTTTAACGGTTGCTAATAACGTCAAACTACTTGGAGTAGTTCTAAGCAGTGACATAAAATGGGAAAATCATGTTGACCTAATGGTCAAAAAGGCTAATAGGAAACTATTCATGTTAAGACAATTAAAAGATGCTGGTTTCAATAATAATGAGTTGTTAATGAGTTGTTAACAGTCTACATGGGATACATACGGCCCACCCTAGAATATGCAGCTCCTCTGTGGTCTGGGGGACTTACAGTTTACCAAGAGACTTCTTTGGAAAGAATGCAAAAACGTGTATGTCGGTCCATTCTTGTAAACAATTATGTTGACTATCAGGATGCTCTCGAAAAACTTGGGCTGGAATCACTCGTACAACGTAGGATTTTATTATGCTGTAGATAGAATGAGTTGCTCAAGGACATATGCGACATCCCGAGCTTGAGGTTGGGAAACCAAACCGTTTAGTGTGCATTAAAACCCCACCTCCTGGGGTGCACCCTGACATTCACCTTAAATGTGTTATGTATTGTTCGCCTCTCCGAAGAAGAGATGATGTACTACCCTCGCCTCTCCGAAAGAGAGGGATAGGGCACTGCAATATGCGTGTCTTTATTTGTGCGTGTGGGTGTGTGTGTGGGTGTATGTGTGTGTGTCGGGTGTGTGTGTGTGTGTGGGTGGGGAGGTGTGTGTGGGGGTGGGTTGGTGTGTGTGCGTGTGTGTGTGTGTGTGTGTGTGTGTGTGTGTTTGTCCTCCTGGGAGCATAACCCACAAACTATTGGACTGATTTACTTAAGATTTGTACACATTGACAATGTTACATGTATCTCAATACTCTTCAAATTGGTGCTGATCGGAAGTAAGAAGCAGACTTTAGAATGTTATTTCTATATTTTCCAGTCGCAAAAGCCGACAGAGCCAACAAGTGAATCGTTTGGCTTTGTTTGGTTAGGCCGAGCGGACTCGAGCGGATCGACAGCGGATTAGAGTAGGGGTGAGTCAAATTGTGGCCGGCAGACTGGAAGCGGTCCGGTGGGCGTGCAAACTCGCCCGATTGATGGGCTTGCCATGCGAGGCCTATTATGAAGCGGTTAGGGCGGAATGCAATTAAATGCCACTACTTTGTTAGTATAGATATATATAATCTCAGAATATATATTTTAGTTTTGTACATCACTTGGGTTCTTGTATATGGCGTCGGTGGCTTTGCTGTACAGTGAATGGCGAATGAGCAATCCGGCCATTATAATAGAGATCAATGGTCTTGCTACACAATATGAAAAAAGAGACCAAGTCTAAAATCGAAAGGTCCACTGATTAATTAGTGATAAGATAGATAGTATTATACATACTCCAAGTATCAAAATGCACGATGAGGACATAGTTAATGTCGAAATATTGAATCCCGACACGATGACGTGCATTTCGATACTTGGAATATGTATTATACTATCTTAGACCAAGTCTAGTTACCTTTGCACGTCCGTAGCCATCTGTGATTACAGTGTCACCGAGCTCGTTCACTTTGCTATAGCTAATAGTGTAGAGCTTGGCCCAGTGGTCGTGTCCCGGTCTTCCCTGTGTCTGAATTCCTGTGATGTTGTGTTCTATCAGCATATCTATTTTAATCCAAGCTTGTGTATCGCTAGCAGATTCAAAAAGCCAACAACAGTTGCAACTGCCGGCGCTGGAGTGTTTTGAATTCAGTCGACCACATTTAGCTCCATATTTGTTAGCATTCTTAGAACTTGCACTTAACTGACTGTCAAAAATCTTGCCACTTTCCATTCCCAAAGGTGCAACGCATTCTGTGCAAAAGATATAATTACTTAAGTGAACGAATCCTGTAGTAAGGCTTGGGTGCCGCAACCCATAGAATTCTTTACGGGTGCAGTACGAAGCCTTCCTCGATTCCTCATGTCTCGGTTGTCAAAAGAAATCCCGGGTAGCAACAATTCATAACCAGATCACTTCGTAACGACCAATTAGACCAATTCGGCAATGTTTGTTTTACGTGACGTACGTTGGGTATAACCATGGAAAGTATCACAATTCAATCAGTGTAAAGTATGGGAAAAGGTAAGGTAATGTTATGGTTGCGAAAATAACCACCCACTGTTAAAGTGAGAAATAAATGGCAAGAAAAGGCAATACGATTGTTTAAAATAGTGTTTATTTACTTATTCTAGCGTATTCTATGCTTTGAAATTGACGTGAACCTTCGTAAACATTAACTAGCCTACATATCGTAGCGTAGTTCGCGGGTCGAAGACTCTTGTGCATATCAATGAATAGATATGTAGGACCTATGCCTAAATTTTTTTTCTAAAAATCTCAATGTTTGGGACCAGTATCATTTGGAGCATTAGCAAACCATTAAGGCAAAATTCTGGCGTCCCAACCAATCATCTTCATGTGCTGTAGTAAAGGCCTATAGCTACCGACGTAATTTCTTTGAAATATGACAAATCTCTATTTTCCTTGGAAGACCAGTCACACCAACGTGAATTTCGGGACATCAACAATCGACTTAGAGTAAGTTAAATCACGTTCAAAAGAACAAATACATTTATTATGATGCATTTGAAATAAGGGAAAGCCGCCATAGCAATCTCCATGTAAACACCACTGTGCCAGTCCATTGTTTACATCCAACGCCCAAGTTTGGTCACGACCATCACCGAACTGGTCTGTTTTATGTACAATTGCAACTCAGCATTTTTAGTTGTCTATCGATATACTGAAGGCTCTAATATTGTAATATTACTGCTGACCTTAAATAATGAAGGTAAAAAAGGTGTAATGAAAATCCTGAATTCGATAGTTTTGGCCCTTAATTTAATATGGGTTGTAATGGACCTTTCCGGATTGTCAATCAAATTTAACAACTGACCAATCAGAACAGAGCCAGGAAAACGCGCGCACCCAACGAACACACGCTTTGTCCCATAAACGCACGTGTTTGCGTATGTTTTTACACTGTCGTTTTATGGGACTTCAGCAACAATATGCAAGGAGTAAGGCCTAGCGGAAATGTCCATTGTAATAACTTTTGGGCCAAACTGTAAGTTCACTTCGGAACTGACTACTATACCTTATTTTTAGTCATGACAAACTTAGTTAATAGACCTTTCCAGAGGTAGTGTCAATCAAACTTAACAATTGACTAATCAGAACAGCGCTAGGAATACGCGTGCGTATCAACACACGTCTTGTCCCACAAACCACATGTTCGCGTATGTTTTAACACTTGTGTCGTCTTGTAGGACATTAGCAACAATAACCAAGGGGCGGGGCTTAGCGGAAAGGTCTATTAATACTGAACACACAAACGTTTTGACCAAAGATCATCATCTTATAAGAAAACGACGATCGAATCTGTCGTGGTATCCCCAATAAGCAGCCATTATTGTATGTGTGTTTTTATGTATTTCTTATCACCTTTCGTTGCAGTAGAGTATGTCGCAGGCCGGTCACCATATTATTACCATACCTACCTACCTCTCTCCGACTGTCAGAATTCCTAATCAACTTACGAACTTCTGCGTATAAAAATCATAAATATGGTCATGGTAGAATGTGTATTCAAACTCACCATCGGATGGGCATACATGAGCTAGGTATCCAGTTGATGAACACATGCACAAATGCTGCCCCACGGCATCAGGAACATCGACACAAATGTTGCCGGGACCGCAGTCCACAAATGCACAGTTACCGGCCACATTCTGAAAATACGTAAATAAAGGTAAGGTAAGGTGGGAGAATAACCTATTGTGCTAAACTGCGTATAAATGGGCGTGGTCTTTGACTTCCTAGCAGCCGTAAAGAGGCGCTTTATGTAGCTACGTGTTCACTACGACAGGGGCTGAAATGAACCATAACCCCGGGGTAACCCCCTACACTTCCAAAAGATGTAATGGGTACTTCAAAGTGCAGACGAGCCAGGTGTTTACACTGGACCTCCATTTTAAGTCCTTATCCGGGAAGACATGGTGCTACCATGGAGGAAATTTCTCCATGGTTTTAGCATGGAGAAAATAGGCCTATATTAAGGAGTACCATCGAGCGAAGATTCTACCAACTGAACCATGTGCGAGGAGCGGCTGGAACCAGCGCCGATGTTAGGGCTGTGGCTAGCGGCGCCCCTGCCTTACCACTCGGTCACTCGACTCGCCAATAAACATAAAAGAGAAGATACAGTTTGGAATATTATAAATTGTCATTCATTAATTTTATCTTCATTGGATTTTTCAAATAATGTACGAATATACTAAATACCGTCAGTTTACGACTTGTTTCTATGTATCTTTCCCCAGCTTCTGCAACAAAGTTCCCAGAATCCTCCTCTACGGTAGCGTCATTCAGTTCGCACGTCATGCGATCTTCGTTGTAGTTGACTGAATGGCATTCTTCGGTGTTGAGACATTCTGTGACACATGTCGTCGGACTTCTGCTCGTCATACTTTTGATGTTATGGTTTTGAAGTTTATAATCCTTCGAAAAGTTTGTGGACTGATGCACGTACGTTAGCTCTATCAAGATAGAAACAATATCATTACCAGAAACGTTTATGCCATAACCAAATACTAAATCGTAGGCTTTCCTCAATAAGTGTACATGTATAATAATCAAATTGGGCTCAATTAATCTGCGGCAGCCGAAATGCAGCGCTACACCTGGTGTAGCACTGCACTTCGGCTGCCGCAGCCGGCACTGGTAGACAATTCCCTGTATTAAGCGAAGCACTTACTGCACTCGACGGTCATCGGCCGACGCTATTCTATGAAGAACGCAACGCGACGACGTGCGCGCAACTGATCGTTTTTAATGACGTTCCGTTCAGACGACCACCAACAATCAGCAATAATAATTTATTGGCTCTCTCTTTCAAAGCAGAGGAACACTCTCACGCAGGAGAGGTTCGACCATACAAGAGAATAAAAGTTACAAGTAAAGATAAATTCATAAAAAAAGAGACAGTAGTAATGAAAAATCCAAATCCAATTAAAATAATATAATATTCTAAAGTTTAAAATCTTAACTAAAAGGGGAAAAAAATAATAAAATAAAAAAAATAAATAAAATAAAAAAAAATAAAAAAAAATAAAAAAATAAAAATATGTAATAATAAAATAAAGTAAATAAAAATAGATAAATAAATAAAAACAAGCACATAATATAATAAATGCAAAGCATACATATCAAAAACACAACAGTAGTATAGTCAATGTCTATTCATAAAATCATTAAAGAGAGAAAAAAAAATGGAAAAAAACACCTATAAGCTATTAACATTATTAGCAGGGTCATTTAAAACACGTGTTCGTTTTTCCCATGCATCTTTTAGATATTCTTTAATACAAGTATCAAAAATTAAGCCAAGAGTCGAATTTGTTGAGAAAAGATCATCAAGCAAATAATGAATTTTTAGATGTGGTGAACCATTGGAGAAATTTCTGTCTCTTATACACATCTAGATGTGTATAAGAGACAGGTACAGTATTAACCACAAAAAACTAAATTGTGGGCATTCTAATAGAAAGTGCTCTATATTTTCAACAGAGTTACAGTTACATAATTTGCAAAAACCTGTGCACTCATCATACCATGTACTTTTCCTACCTTCTAAAGCTAAACAATTAGACCTTGCTTTAAACTTAAGGCTGATTACTTTGAAGTCAGTTTTATCATATAGATATGTTTCAAAAAAAGGAGCTCTGTCCACACTATCAAATTTTATTTGACAAAAACATGAGGCATTCCTGAATATTTTCATGATCACATCACACCATGACCATATATAGGTACTTCATGATTGTATACTGGCATGCAACAGTTGTTTTGTCAAAGAAAATGTGATAATCTGGACAGAGATTCGTCTATTCCTAATGAATTGTGCACTAAATTGTCCATGGTTCATGGCACAGTGGTTACCACTAGCTTCATCCAACTGACGCTATGCAGACAAGCTAGAGAAATCCAAGTCAAAAATCGAAGTCAATTTCTCTCTGAGTCAATAAGCCAATCGACATAAACCTGTGTTGTGTGTATGCTTGTTTATGTCGACTGACTTTGACAAAGGTATGCACAGTTCAGAAAGTCAACAAACTAAACAATTGGCCAATCAGAACACAGCAAAGAATACCCGCTTTTTCTACAATCACACGCAATGTCCCACACAAACGCACGTGTTCGTAAACGTTGTAGTTTTGTGGGAACTTGTGGGGAAAGTCCATTATAGTTCCGGGTATATCGACACTCCCAGACCTAGATCATAAACTTTAGCTTCGAAAAAAAATAGTTTGCGAGAGATGCAGTTTCATAGTCTCACCTTTATTATCTAAAATAGCATCAAATGCAAACCGTCGGAAATAATGGTCTGTAAACTGGACCTGAGTTCCAACCTCCACATTAGTTGGTTTGTTAGTAAACTTATAAACCGTTGTAACATCAGAAAAAGTTTCAAATACATACAGTGCAGCATCTGTGTACGTTAGACCGATTTTATCCCCTGGTATAACGTCTATTTGCTGAGAATATGTAAGCTTGAATTTTTTAACTACATCGCGCTCTGCAGGTGAAGGAATCATTGTTTTACCAACGACTTCATAAATGTTATTATCTGCGTTCACCGATCTGTAAACTAGAGCAATGATGTCTCCGGGTCCACCTGCAATAAACTGCCATCCAGTGATCGTACCAGGACACTTAATCTTGTTCCAATCATCCATCCAAATTCTCGATGCATGTGCAACACCAGTCTTTACCTTCATTAATGGCCAATTAATAATGTGACATGGTATATACGAATCTAAAATGTAAATAAAAGATAATATTTTATTATATTATAGAGTATTATATAATATTGCATCACACATCATAATTATTCAATAGCATAATATTCTTAATAATAGCATACTGTCTACCACATAGCTGAGAACAAAATACAACTCATGTTAAAGATCAGCAAGTTCGTTATGCGGAACGGTATTTGATTTTACAGAGTTTTTTTTTATTTTACAGAGTTTTTTGACAGTCAGTCTGCAAGGTCTGTCCTATTAATTACCTACGCCAAGAGGGTTATGTTCGAAAGCCCATTAGTGCCAATAAAGTATATGTTCAGTAATCCGTAATAATTAGTTAATTCGTAATTAGGGATTACTAATTCGTAATAACGAATTAGTAATCCGTAATTACGAATTAACTAATTCGTTATTACGGATTACTAATTCGTAATAACGAATTAGTTGATTCGTAATTACGAATTACTAATTCGTAATTACGGATTACTGAACATATACTAATGGGCTTTCGTAGTTATGTATTCACTGCTGTCTGTCTGTGGCTGTCTAACGTGCTGTCTGTTTATCTGTTAGCAACATTACGCAAAAACTAACGATGATCATAATAAGCAATTAGAATAGTTGCGTATAATACACTAGTGGTAATTTATTATACAAAGGTTAGATTAATAGATTTAGAAGAAAGACACCATTAAATTTTCGGGTGAAGAGGTCAAAAAACAAATTCATGGTGACGGAAATTCAATTTCCTCGTATTCAGGCGGCACTCAAGAAGGTAATGTACCTGAATACGACAGGTGATTCTATTATTTTTGTAGGGTATGCTGCAGTTTCGCCCATCATACACGGCCTGATTATTGTTGGTATTCAGACACAGGGCGGTATTATTCTCACTATGGAGTGACTGCTCAAGTTTAAATAGATATTTTCAACATTATTAATATTGATAAGGTTACAGCACAGACAACAGTCGTTCCTTGATATTATGTTATGTAACATCGTATCCATACCTACATAGCTATTTTACAAAAAGTATATCTGGCATAGTTAGCTGGGTCTGGGCTTTAGGTTTTATCTAGCATTAGTAACTGATTCGGTTCAGCTCAGTAGCGTAACTGGCTAAAGCCAAGCCAGTGTCCCAGACCTCAAGGAGCATTAACGTTTGCTAGGACATTGGGCCTTAAATCTGCCGAATAGTAGAACAGTTAAGGTCACGGAAATTCCATATTATTTTTATACTGGAGTTTAAAAAAAATAATGAATTGCCCATGATACTCGGCCTGCGTACTGTTCGGCATTCAGCCATAGGGAGAAAAGTAATGGAATCGCCCATCATACACGGCCTGCGTGTTGTTGTTCGGTATTTAGGCAAAGGGCTTAGGTATGCACTCTGAATGACTGCTTTAGTTATTATTATTATTATTATTATTATTATTATTATTATCATTACCAAAGATACTAGAAACACGAGATAGAGCAATCGTAAAGCAAAAATGAGGCGGAAATACGTCACATATTTTACTCAAATCCAAACGTAAGCGGCGCCCTTCTATTTTAAATTTACGCAAGTGGATCCAGACCGCATACACAAGCACCCTACATATACAGGGCGCCCTTCTGTTGCTAAGTAAATCCAGACGTACGCGGAGCCGTTCTCTTTCCGCTAATGATGGAAACTTTATCACTGGGTTTTCTGGGATTGTATCCTAATATAAATAATGTGCCAGATGTATAATGTTTTTGCTGGGCATGCAAAGCTTCAAGAATTTAATTAATTGTTCTCTTAAGCCGGGCACTCACTGCGCCGAACGGTCGTTCGCTGACACGATACTATGGAACACGCATTGTTTTAATGACGATACGTTCATACTGCAACCGCAAATCAGCAGATGGCGTCGCGTTTGTCTAGCACTCACATGAAGCGGAGTTGGGCTGTCGTATGACGTAGTGAATGCCCAGCTTTACCTTTCAAAACGGCTTGAAAAGAATAGCTTCGGTATCTTGGTTGAGAGTCAATAGTGTGAATGGTTCTTTTTAACAATTCATGTTTAGAAATCGAATTGGTGAATAGGAATGAAGAAGACGCAGGGTCACCAACATTATATGGCAATGAAGCCTTATAAAACTTGAATCCTATGACGTCACCCTTTAGTACTGGTATCCAATCAAAGTCTTGTAGTTTATGGTCGCGAATCTGATTCAATTTCGTTTGCGCTGGTATAATTGTTCGTCCAACAACAACATATTTTCCGTCACTAACGACGTGCGGACGAAAGACCAGCGCTATCAACTCCTCCGACTGGACTGGAAAGAATCGCCAACCTGTCACAAATCCATCGCAGGTTATGGTATTTCCAATATTCAATAATGTTACCCCGGTGCCATCTAAACTCGGTCTTGAAATTAGCATTCCACCGACGACAGTTGGACAAGTCCCTTGTACTAGATGAAAAAAAAAACAAATCAAAATGTTAATTGTATGAAGAAGAAATTAGCTTTTTCATGAGCCGGCATTAGAATCGCTGACTGTTCTCTCACAGCCAAATTCTCGGTTGTTTCCATTTTTTTTGTTTCCATTTGTTTCAATGTTTCCAAACATTTTTTTTTAGACAAGGAGGTACCAACTCAGTTCTCAGGAAAAAATATCACAGAAACCCGACAAAAAAGCAATCAGAAAAAAATACATTGGTGGCATCTTCATACCGGTTACTTTAATTTCGCATTAAAAAATATTCATAACTACTCCTGCACAGACCATAAAGCAAGTTGATAACAGATGATCCACTTTTGGACACACGATGGAGAAAAAAATCTGGATACGGGAGTGAAGAACATTATCTAGTGAAAACAACTAACGTAAATATTTAAAACGGAAAGCCTCTGAAAGCAAAGAAAGAAAGAGAAGTTTGAGACCAAAAACAACCAGATGAGAAAGGGGGTTTATAATTGAGCAAAAAATAGACTTTTTAGTCCTAAAAAGTCAAAATAAAGATAATGTTGGATACAGAAGTTCAAGACAAGCATAAACATAGTGTTGGAAATAAATAAACAGAGAATTACTAATGAAGCATAGAATATGTTTACAAAGCAGAAAAACTAAATCCATAAATAGTCGTGGGCATAAATACGAGAGGGGGAACCTTCAATTTTGAAGAACTTTAAGTCATTAAAAGCTCATTCCGGTCATCTAGGAATCAAAATTTTCCCAGGGAGAACCCAGGACTCCAATTTCTCTTTGAGAATACGTTATGCAATTACTCGTTTAAAAAAAATGTATTTTACACACATTACAGGCCTATTTACTGTAATAAGAATGAGAAGGTTTACCTGACCGTTTTGAAGAGGGGGAAACCTTGAATTTTGAATAACTTAAAAGTCATTAAAGACACCTCAAAAGTCGGGAAAGCTCATATCCCGCCATCTAGGAATAATCATTTCCCAGGGGCAGGACCCCAGACCCTCCCCCTTTTCTTTTAGGTAGTAGCAGCAGCGGTAGTAGCAGCAGCAGTAGCAAAAAAACATCCATACAATGATTTTGAGCAAAAACGTCTGAGAGACAAAAAGATAAAAGAGGGGTCCAAATACAGAAGAAGACAGGGAAGTGATGTTACTCGTGGTTGCCGTAGTGGCAGCGGCAGCGGTTGAAACAGCAGCGACATGGCAGCAATAACAAAATGCAGAAGCGCAAACACCCATAACATCAGCATTAGTAGTAGCAGTTGAAGTGGTAGACCTAGTAATAATAATATGCCAACATCTCAAAACTATCCTACTTATGGTTACATAAATAATCTTTCAGCCTATTAATATGACATCAGAACTTCAACCAATAGGACCTTAAAAATGATAGAAACCCAAGAAACAATTAAATATTATTTCCTAAGCGTTGATAAGTAAACATATGCAAACATAAACATGCAATTACCCTTTGAATCCATGCTCAAGAAAAACAGTAAGCCGATCCGTAATAAATTATACATGTACATCGTGTTACGTTGGAGTATGAAAATGGCACTGTGATATTAGCCGATTTCAATATAAATGTTATAGTGAGGTACACAACCTGATAAAAATATTTCATCACTATATACATCGTTATATGGAGGTTTTATTGGTATGTTAGTACCTTCTTTAGTTCTTGTTTGTATTGTTCATTAGGCTAAATTGGATGACAAATTGAAGTAGACATTGTCATGATCATGACGAGTGTTTTAATTAACCAACAAGACACGTTTCGTATTTTTATAAGCCATTTTATGTTATTGATTCAGCTGTTATATAGCTACTATTTTGGAAGATTCCTCATCAAAAATACGATGAACAACACGAATTCGTGTCTGCATTTCTAACAAAATATCCAAATCAATTAGCATAATATATAAATTAAAATTGTTCTTACCCTTTAATATTTTAACTTCACTTTACAACACTCTCTTGTGTTTTTATACTTTCAATATTGTAATATTATTTCGGCATCTGATTTTTGTTGAAATCTTGACAACCTGCTGAAACTACAAAAAACGCGCTGTAAGCGTCATAACTATTTCACACTATCTAGCACCATATGAGCCTCTTTTAAAAAAGCTTCAACTACTTAAAATATATGATTTGCATAAAGTTAAAATCGCAAATTTCATGTATACGTTGTTTAAAAATAAACTTCCAAAAACCATAAACCAGATGTTCAATAGCAACAGTTATACTACTCAACATAATTTAAGAAATTATTAGAAAGTAGGCTGTATATTCCATTTGTAAGACCATATAAAAGTCAGTTGTTTGACGATTGCAAGACCACGGTTGTGGAACAACCTAACAATAGACCCTATCAATACTAGAAATTATACCATTTAAGTCTGTACCTTAACTAAATTCAGTTGATTTTCTTCACTTTGTTTACGAAATTTATGATTATTATTATTTTTAGACAATTTATTATTTTATTTTTTTATACGCTCATGTTTTTTCTTTTATTATTTTTCTTATATTAAGGGATGTATTCGAGACAAGGTCTTCCTTCTAGATAAAGATCCTTATAAAAGTTCTCTATTACACAATTATGTTATATTTTATTTTATATTATTGTATTTTTTCAATGCTAATGTATATTAAGCTGTTGTGTACTGAGCTGAGCTGAATATACAAGAAAATCGATATTTGGACGTAAGTATTGACTTGATAGAAATTCATATGGTGTTCTTACTTTATCATTCGTGTCAGCATGAATATCGGCGATGCAAGTCAGTTCGTTTTGCTGTTGGTTTTTAGCTGGACTCTTAAAGGTTACAATAGTTTTATATATTTTACTTTTAGTATGTTGATTTTCCGTCAAATTAGTTAGCCAAATAGCCTACAATAATTATGACGGTTACAGTCCTTCTCAAAAGGAGACAGCTTATTCTAGCCACGTTATTCGTCCGTCAGTGAATTAACTAAGTGGCATCCAGACTAAAACAACTGCTGCATGCCAATATAAAGTCATGATGTGCCTATACATGGTCATGATGTGATGTCATCATGACCATAGTTAGGCATGTCATACTTTTGTCAAATAAAATTTGATGATCTGGACACAGCTTAAGAAAAGTTATATTTAGGAGGCCTACTTTAAAGAATAAACAATAAAATATTCCATACTTTGCCATCAGTTTATTTAATTGTTTTTTAAGGAATCTTAACTTGTAACTCGTGTTTCGCAAGATCTGTTTAATCCGCGTTTAAAGACGCGCACACATATCACCAGTGGCGTACTGGTATCTGGGAGTATACCAACTGTAAAAGAACAGGACAGAGTGGTGTAGTGTTTATTTTGGTGCGATTTTGTTTTCCATTTTTAATTAATTGAGAAACCCCCTGTTGTTTATTCAATTTTTATTTATATGAATGTGTTGTGCAAAAGCTGTTTATTTATCTGAGTACTTGTTTATGTATAAATTGTTTCTTAATTAATCGATTCCTAATATTAGTGTGTGTTTTTATTTTATTTTATTTTTTGTTGACATTTTGTTTATTTGCAATTCTCTCGTTGTTAAGTTTTATTTGTATGGATTTTTCTTCTTGCTGCCAACGTATTCTTATATTTGGCACAAGAACGTTATCGATGCTATTCTTAATGCCGAAACAAAATCAATGTCTGGAACACAATATTATTGATTTGAAGAACAATAATTCTACGACGACTAATAATAATACTACTACTAACTACTACTAATACTATTAGTAATAGTAATACTACTAATAATACTACTACTAATAAATAATAATAATAATAATAATATATAATAATAATAATAATAATGATAATAATAATAATAAATACTACTACTCATAAATAATAATAAATAGTAATAGTAATAAATAATAGTAGGGCCTAATAATAATTATAATAATAACAATAATAAATAATAATAATAATAATAATAATAATAATACTTATACTAATTGTAATACTAATAATACTACTAATACTACTACTAATACTACTACTAACGTTACTACTAATAATACTACTACTACTGCTAATAGCATACGACTCCATAGAGTACCACTCAGTCGTGTCGTCACGACTCCAGGTGGCGCTCTCTGTTGTCAAAAATGGCGCCCGGTTGAACGCCTTTTGCAACGATAGCAACGGAGTAGTATCACGCGGTATTGTGACGTAACACTGTGGTACTCTATACTGCTATTACTAATACTAATATTATTACTGCTAATACTACTGCTAATATGTTTTTTTAATGTGTTTTATATATTTTATCTTCTCCTTGTTTCCGACGAATAAATAAAATAAAAACACATTTATTACTGGTGTCGATCTTATCTAACAAACAGACGTCAACATGTATGTTTTCTCACAGCCAACAGTTGGAAAAACTGGTAATTTAACTATTGGGGAAACCCAAATTGGCTCTGCTGTTACTATGGATGCTAATATGACAATGAGTAGACATTTCAAATATCACTTCAACATCTTCATTTTATTTACGCAACATTGGAAGCATTAGGAAATACATTGACAATGCAGCTGCTGAACAACTTGTTCACTCATTTGTTACCTCACGCCTTGATATGGGTAACTCACTCTTGTATGGACTTCCACAAAAACAAATCCAACGGCTTCAACAAATACTTTGAAATCATGACAATGGCTTCCGGTACAACACCGCATTGTTTTAAAAATATTATTAATTGTTTTTAAATGTATAAATGGTTTGGTTTCCGACTATGTTGCTGGCATGATTTGGCCTTATATAAACACGATACCACTTTTCTCTGTCGACGCAGCGTTGCTCCTTTTGCAGTGCACGATAGTGGAGCCCTGGGCTTATCCTGGGGTGGAAGGTGCTGATGCTCAACATACTGCCTTTGAGTATCTGCGCATAATTATATGGGGAGCAACACTGTCTCAATGGGATAATTGGTATACGGATTTTGCTTGAAATTCTTTTGGGAATTAATATGGATTTTGTTTAATTTGTGGTGTAGTTGACACTGCGCCTTGAGCACCATTGGTGGAGATGTGCGCTTTATAAATCTTTATTATTATTATTATTAGTATTATTACTGTATATACTACTACTAATACACTGTTAATACTACTGCTAATACTAATAATAATGTAGGGGCGGCACATGAAATGATCTATCAAACAGGTGTTTATGTCTCCCACCTGCCTTGATCCAGAAGGTGTTTGTTAGACGACCTAAGAAGGAGAGGAGTACATATATGTTGGAGGATATTATAAATGTATTTGGGGGCAAGATCATTGCCTTATGTTGAATGATATGCGTTCCTTGATTTTAAGCAGTGGCGTATATAGAAATCTTAAAATAGCAGTGGGGTGGGGGGGCTGACGGGGCGCGAAGGTGAAGTAGGGAAGGCTCGATGATCAGTTGAGGGGCGCTAATTCGCAAAATATGATGATTTTAGGTGATTTTTAACTACTTGACCGTGATTTTTTTTTGGGGGCGACTGGGGGTTGGGGCGAGTAATTTTGGGGGAGTGCTTCCCACCCCCCGCGACCTCCCCTAAATACGCCACTAATTTTAAGTCAATGTGGCTTTCTGAGAACAGGGCTTATATACCTTCTCGCTTCTTAGTGAATGTAACAATTCTTGCAGCTGTGTTCTGCAAAAGCTGAAGGTCATGAAGATGTTTATGTGGCAAGCATTAAGAAGCCTTTACAAAAGTAGAAGACAAAACAGAGTGAACAAGCTTTGTGGACGTATCAATAGATAAATATTTGCGGATGTGTCGGATCTTTCTTAACTGGAAATGGATTGAGCGGCATTTTGTAGAGATATGCTGTGTAAATTCATAGTGATTGTCAAAACTACACAAATATTTCTATCAAAGTCAAATGTGGAAACCTGAAAATGTAAATCTGATTGACCTGAATTTGGGAAATATCAAACTTTGACTGAATGTGAATAACCTCAGATTGTGCATCATTTAAACAAAGTCTATTTACAGTAAGACTATTAACCGCACATTCTTCTAATGATTGAACTGAAGATGGACAATTGTTCTTTTTAAAAGAAAGGTATAAAGCTGTGTGTTATCAGCATATTGATAAATATGCTGTGATATTTAATAAGCTTGCCTAGAGGTACCATGGTCCGAAAATTGAACCTTGGGACACGCCAGAGCATAGACGTTTAGGGGTAGATTTGCTTTGCTGGAGTGAAACGAACTGGTACCTGCTGGACAAATATGACTTGAACCACTGAAAGCGGTCTCGCATAAGCCTAGATTAGTGAACCGTTGTGAGATAGAATGGTCAACAGTATCGAAGGCAGCGGATAAGTCCGTCATGACAAGAAGTACAGCATTACCGGAATGCAGAAACAAAAGGACATCATCATGAATTTTAGTAGGACTTTTTCAGAATTTCCGATAAACAGTTTGAAATGGCTCAAGTAATGAGTTACTAGTTTGTAATTTGTAAAAGAACAACTTTTTTTTAATAACTTTGGAGATGAAAGGGAGATTAAATAATGGTCTGAATTTGGACAGGCAATTGACGTCAAGTGAATGATTCTTGAGGATAGGTCTCTAACTGCTGCAGTTTTTAGAGAGTCACAAAATGTGTCATATTTAAGGGAAGCATTTATATTTATGTTACAAATCAAGTCAAATAACTCAGCAAAAAATTTCTTAACAACAATGGTGGGTGTTACGTTACGGCTCAGAATAACTAACAGAGAAGACTAATCACAACTTTTGTGTATTCGCAAAATGTATATTATAATTTATTTACAATGCGATTATAATACGGTAATTAAACAAAAGATAGAAATTAAACATATAAAATGAGATTAGAGGATGGTGGTGGTTAGAACCTGAAGCAGCAACTTAAGTACTTTACTTACAGATCAGAGAGGAACTAAAGCCGGACAAAATAACAGGGTTCCAGGTAATAAAGATGTCTTGAGTTGTCTGCACTGGATCCCAAATTACAACTGAATTACTTTGGGTAGTAAGACCCTTTAAGATGGGTATGACACTTTGCATATTAAGGGTCCCATCCAATCAGGGCACCACTTCCAACAAGTTTAACAAACTAATCCACCAATTAAAAGCTATAGTAAGGTGTCCGATAAACATACACTTAATTAAGGTAATAAATAAGTGGTTTGGACCAACTGAAAGTAATGTCCAGGATGCGAAACCACATTCAAGTCTTGGAGATACCAAACTCAGTTCATTTACCTTGCGTTAATTAAACACTGATCACGGGTAAAGGAACTTGTGTGTCATAGGACAATAGCATACTGTAGGATAATAATATTTGTGAGCTTTACAAAGTAAAACAAATTAAAATAAGGAAACAGTGCTTTCCTAGAAAATGTTGAGTAAAACTTAAGGTCATAAAAATACTAACTACAAAAAATATTATATATATTTATATAAAGAAGTTAATTTAAAATAGGCAAGGATGTAACAGTGGGTAATGAATTAAGGATGAAGGTTTTGTTATTGGAACACATAATGATATTAAGAATTTCAGAAAGTCAACTTGATGTAAAGGCAGACATCGATGAACCTGGGTTACTGTCAAAGCAGAAATTGTCAAGCTGGACACTAACACTGTCCAGAGAATGCTGAATGTTAATAATTTTGAAGCGTAAAAATTCACTAAACTGCTCATTGATCTGCTCAGAAGAACAATCAGATGAGAGACAAGGGTTAGGATTACCAATCATTTTTGAAGTTTTTGTTATTACATACAGTATTACTATTACTACCTGTATTAATATTATTAAATAATGGTCTGAACATGGTTGGTATGAACATGATTATAGCGGGTTCTAGGCTAAGGTGAAGCAGTACAACCACGCTAATATCCAGTCTAATATTATTGGTAATGTTGAAGGTGATACGGATATCTTTGATTTTTGGCGACTACACTTTAACGAATTATTTAATTGTGTTGATTCCTTAGACCACAAGCCTTTTGTTAATGATGTTCTGGATGATGAAAATGTCAGTAATAACTATGAAATTAGGGTAACGCCAATTACTCTCAAGAAATATAGAGCAATTATAGGCATATCGCACTGGCGTGTGTAACATCTAAATTCTCGAGTCGATTATGATTAAAAACGTGGTGATACACTATGTTCTAATGACAATTAATTTGACATTAAACCGGGACACTCTACTGACCTATACATATTGGTGTTAAAACAAATAATTGAATATTTCAATATAATAACGGTAGCCCCGTTTACTGTTGTTTCTTAGACGCTAGCAAAGCGTTCGATAAAGTTAACCACTGGACGTTGTTTAAGACGCTGGTTGAACGAGGTACCTCCACCCCTGTTATTCGAGTCCTTTGATCATGGTATCGGTCGCAGGAGTTTGTTGTCAGGTGGGGTAGCTGCATATCTGATCATTTCTCCGTTAGGAACGGAGTGCGTCAAGGGGGAGTCATGTCTCCATTACTGTATACTGTTTACACAGATCCGCTTAATGTACTTTTAGATAATGCTAAAGTCGGATGTGAATTAAATGGTACTAAAATCAATTGTTTAAGCTATGCTGATGATTTGGTAGGCCTACTTATGGCTCCATCAGCAGCAGGACTACAAAGTCTTATTGGTATTTGTGATACATTTGCTAGTAATTATGATATCACTTTTAATGAGTCTAAATCAAAATGTATGGTAATCTGTCCTAAGGTGCGTAACCTGCAAGGCGAGCCTCGTATTACGCTTAAATCATCCCCTTTGATATTTATTAACTCTCTATTACCTACCTTGGTCACGTTATAAACAATAACCTAAGCGATAATTGTGACATTAAACGTCAATACCGTTCGATATGTATAAGAGCTAACTCCCTCAGTAGGAAATTTGGTAAATGCTCTACGACGACTAAATGTTATTTGTTTAAATGTTACTGTGTTATAGTATTTATTGTTCTACTCTTTGGTGTAGCTATAACAAAGGTGCTATAAGATCGTTAAAAGTCTGCTATAATAACGCCCTACGTTTATTACTGCGACAACCGAGGCACTGTGCGAGTTTTATGTTTGTATCCAATGGTGTAGGCCTACCGTCCTTTGGCGAGTATCTTAGAAACTCTATACATAGTTTTAGGAACCGTGTGAAAATTAGCTCTAATTCAATCATTTTGTCCATTAAGCATTATGCTCTTTCCACTTCTAAAATGTATCATCAGTGGAACACTATCGTACATTAAGATGATTTCCTGATCTCGATGTTTTTCTTGATTCAGTCTTACATTTATATGTATTTGTATTGGTTTAACTGTTATTCTTTTGTATGGACACGAAATTCCGAAATAAAAGATGAATGAATTATTATTAATATTACTATTAATATTATATAACACTTTCATATATTACGAATAATTATTTGTTTTGTTTTTCTAGTCCAAGCGACCTGTCCAAATGTTCACGGAGGAATGCCGGTTTCAAGACCGTTAGGCCAATTAGATTCTCCCGGGGTGACGGGATTGAATTTTGAAAATCCGATAACGTGTAATGGCTTTGTGACAGGTTGGCGATTTTTTCCAGTCCGGTCGGAGGAGTTCGTAGCGCTGGTCTTTCGTCCATTCAAAGTCAGTGATCACAAATATGCCGTTGCTGGAAGAACCATTATACCAGCGCAGCAGAGACTGAATCAGATACGTGAGCATAAACTACAACACTCCGAATGGATACCAGTACTTAGTGGTGACGTCATAGGATTCAAATTTGAAAATGCTTTATTGACTTATGACGACTCTACATCCTCTATGTTCTCATTTGCCCATGGAGTCAATAAACACGAGTATATGTTGGGAACCGTTCATGTTATTGGAGATGGGATAAGTTATCGAACCTATTCTTTTCAGGCCGTTTTGCAAGGTAAGCAAGTAATTAATTATGTTCTGGTAGATTGGCATGGCGAGAAATAAATCTGTATCTTTCTTTATGGATTTACAACATATGCTTTATATCACGATCCTGTAGTAACCAGTAGCAAATAATAAATAATGTGATAATAATAATAGCAATAGGTCTGATGATAATGATATTTATTAATACTGTGATAAAAATAAGAATATATTTGTAAACCTAAAAAAGCTAGATAAGAACTGCAATTTGAGGCGCAAATGTTAAATAGGCCTATGTACTTAGAATATAAGAATAACATAGGCATATATTCTATACTTGGGGGGCGGGCGGAGGTGGTTGGTACATCCAAGTTGCATTTTGGACTCTCAATCTAGTAGTAAGTTGTTGAACGCTAGCTGTAAATTCTGCATGCGTCCTTGTGCAAGGCACTTAAATACTTTACTTTCCACACGGTACAAATAGGATGATAGAATGTTTGTGTTGATATTTTCGTTGTGCGTACAGTATTTTGTATTAAGATACTATACTTCCAAGAAACCTGGGAAAAGTATCACTTTGTGCCGGTTTTGGTCCAATGGCCAATCACAGTAATAAATTTCAGTAAGTTTCAGCCTCGCAACCTCGAGCATCTGCAGACGTAATAGACCTTAACAAAATTGTAAAATACAGTATTAAGATAACATCATGACCTCGTGTTCATTCATACTTTCTGCATTTCTAGATTCCTACTTGCCCTGTCACATTATTAAGCGACCGTTTATGAAGCCGACTACAAACATTATAAATCAGTCGCGAATGTGGATGGATGATTGGAACAAGATTAAGTGTCCAGGTACGATCATTGCATGGCGGTTTATTGCAAGTGGACCTGGAGACATCATCGCTCTGGTTTACAGAGCGGTGGACGCGGACGATAGCCTTTACGAAGTTGTAGGTAAAACAATGATTCCGTCACCTGCAGAGCGGGATGTAGTTACTGAATTCAAGCTTACATATTCTGAACGAATAGACGTCACACCTGGAGACAAACTTGGCTTTGCGTTGACAGGTGACGCGCTCTACCAACAGGTCGATGACTCTGATGCGGCTACAGTATATAAACACAAGAGCAGGCCTAACGTAATTGAGGTTGGGGACCAAATCCAGTTTTCCGACGACAAAAGATTTAGACGTGTCACGCTTGATGCTATTTTAGAAGGTGAGAGTAAGAGCCAATACCCGTACATTCAAAGAGTATAGAACTGCAATTCTATACTCTTTGGTACCATCAAATATTCTTCAAAAAATATTCATGTTTAAAGTACATAAAAAAGTTTACATTTTCATATCGTGCTTAAATACGGTATTCATTTACAACGTTCTTTCTTTGTTAGAACCGACTCTAGTGCACCAGTCCAAAGTTATTTTAAAAGACTTCAAACTTCAAAACCATATCACTGAAAGTATCACGAGTAAAAGATTGGCGACCTGCGTTACAAAATGTCTCGACGACGAAGATTGTCAGTCGGTCAATTACAACCAAAATCACATGACGTGCGACCTAAATGACGCCACCAGGGATGAGGATAGCGTAAACTTTGTTGCAGAAGCTGGTGGTACATACATAGAAACAAGTCGTAAACTGACGGTAATGACTAACACCAAACACCTAATTACAAAGACAAAATATCTAAGGCCCTGTCCAGACTGTCAAATTGTATATTGACAAAAATATGTGAAATGCCTAAATATGGTAATGGTGACATCACATCATGACCGTATATAAGAGGATCATGATAATTATATGGGTAAGGACCTTTGGCAGACATTGACTTGAGGTTGTTAGTAGGATACTGCTATTGAAGCTATATAACATGATGCGAACCAACAGCAAAATTGTTATGATTATATAGGAGAACCTGTCTCTTATTCTCATCTAGATGTGTATTAGAGACAGGATAGAATGTTATCACGAGTAAAAGATTGGCGACCTGCGTTACAAAATGTCTCGACGACGAAGATTGTCAGTCGGTCAATTACAACCAAGATCACATGACGTGCGACCTAAATGACGCCACCAGGGATGAGGATAGCGTAAACTTTGTTGCAGAAGCTGGTGGTACATACATAGAAACAAGTCGTAAACTGACGGTATTGACTAACACTAAACACCTAATTACAAAGACAAAATATCTAAGGCCCTGTCCAGACTGTCAAATTGTATATTGACAAAAATATGTGAAATGCCTAAATATGGTAATAGTGACATCACATCATGACCGTATATAAGAGGATCATGATAATTATATGGGTAAGGACCTTTGGCAGACATTGACTTGAGGTTGTTAGTAGGATACTGCTATTGAAGCTATATAACATGATGCGAACCAACAGCAAAATTGTTATTATTATAGAGGAGAACAATATAACGCAGTAAATAATATAAACTAGGTTAAAATCAGTGCAGTTGAAATCGAAGTATCTGTTACTTGAGATTTCTGTTTAATGCATCTTTGATAAACTTTCCTCTAATAGGCTTTTCTTCACAACACTTTTTACTCAAAGAAAATTTGATAGCGTGGACAGAGCCGTGCAGCGTTTATGACATGCTAATAATACTATGCTTATACTTAGAGAGCATTTGCGTTTTATTAATTATATTTTGTGTTTGGATGGTTTTAAGGAGCAGAAATTGTTAAATTCGTAATTTCACGGAATTTAACAAAGAGAAGGCTTCAAACTTCTAACATATCTAGTAAGGTCAAGTATGTGACGTCATCACCCCTAGTAACCTCGTTACTATAGAAATCTGATGAATCGATTACAAGTAAAGTGACATTGAAGGACGGAAGAAACACAGTTGAAGTTCAGTACTCAAAATGTTAATTACAATTGGTGTCCACAATTACAATTTCTGTTTGGTTTTGGTTTGTAAAGAACTAGACGACAATTCAGCTTTTCATAATTAGTTTTAACAATGTTGGTTTGTAGAACCTTAAAAACAATACCCAAGGGGCATAGAGCGGAAAGGTCTATTTTGATAAGCCTATTCCAAACTTATCTTCTCTTTTGTTTTTAATATACACCATCATCTTCTTAATTTTTCAGAATGTGGCCGGTAACTGTGCATTTGTAGACTGTGGCCCTGGCAACATTTGTGTCGATGTTCCAGATGCCGTGGGGCAACATATGTGCTCGTGTTCATCCACTGGATACCTAGCTCATGTATGCCCATCCGATGGTGAGCATAAATGTCATGTTTAGAGGGGCGTTTGCATGATTTACGTGAAAATGGAATGGGGACAGCAACAGACTCAAATAACCTTTCAAGATCCCGCTACGAGCCAAAAGCCGGGCATATAGGCCCTACGGCGTAGGCGGACGAATCAAACTCCGTTTTTTGTGAGCGAGGCGACGTGACACCGTCTGTTGATTGTCAGTGGCAGTATTCTGGACTTTATCTGAATGGATCGTCATTAAAATCGATCCATTTCGCACACATTGTATTGTGGCGTTTCGTTCTCCAGAATCGCGTCGGCCGACGACTATCGGGTGCAGTTCGTGACTGTTAAGAAAATGGGAGGCCAATGTATTAACAATAGCCGCATGCAAACAATTATTTAGCCAGCTTTATGTGTGAATTTACATAAATATATAAACTAAAAAAAAGTAATACCGTATATCGCCGTTAATGGAAAAACCTCAATTAGCCTACCATGAAAGAATGCTCAAAATTGTGTAAATAAATTCGAGTAAAAATTACATTACGTTTTGATAATAGTTTAGTTTTTATAGGCCTAGCGCCAGTATCCATCAAATAAGATGCTAATGGCGCTTGATATATGGACTAGGAACTCGATCAATGACTTTCTTCAACCCCTAAGGATTCCTTCGTGTCTGTGCTACCCGGTAACCCGGTACCAGCAACTCTCGTCGTCCACCAAAGGGTCTGTACCAGTACACCGGGCTATCCTCCTACTCGTCTCGAATGATGTACTTGGTTCTTTATAATACACACGAGCCATTGTATACAGTATGCCAACGGTTTATAGTACTTACTCATGAAGACTTGTTCTACCACTAGAACTACAAGCGAGCGTGCCGTTCGAACCAGCGCCGATATTATGGCTGTAGGTTGCGGCGTCCCTGCTAACCGCTTGCCCATTCCACTAGGCACACTTGTTTCTGCGTAACGTATTTCTTCCAATATTGTGTCGTTTACAGAATGCGTTGAACCTTTGGGAATGGAGAGTGGTGTGATTTTTGACAGTCAGATAAGTGCAAGTTCTGAATATTCTTCAACCTACAAAGCCATATATGGCAGATTGGATTTCGGAGGATGTTGGGCTTCTTTAACTGCCAATGCACAAGCTTGGATTTCCATCGATTTGTTGTTAGAACACAACATCACCGGAATTCAGACTCAAGGATGCAATCGTGTCAATGAATGGGCTCAAGCTTACACTGTCAGCTATCGTAAAGTGAACGGGCTTGGAGACACCGCTATCACTGATGGTTATGGACGCCCAAAGGTAATATGTCTTTGTTTATGTATCGAGAAATGAAATTTATGACATAAATGGTCTGGGCATAGGCCTAAACTAAAGACGGTTGGCCTGTTGAATGGACACGTGGACAATGGGCCACAGACCTAAAATGGTTAATATAATATACTAATTGGTTAAGGCCACTTCACACTCGCAGATCCTTGTTGTTTATTAACGTTTAAATATATATGCATGTATATATATTATGTATATATATATATTCCTTAACGTAAATATATATTTATATTTTTTGCAATGCCTATATATCTGTCTCTTATACACATCTAGATGTGTATAAGAGACAGATATATATCTTCTTTAACGTTAAATATATATTTATATATAAACGGTTTTGCAATGCCTTTAAAGCTCAGAAGCTTGCAGCAGGAAAGCCCTGGTGTAAGCTATAAGCATACAACAGTAGATAGATGATAGTTTGTACAAAGAACGATAATTACTTTGCCAAGTTACTGAGAAAACCTCAATTAGGTTATTCAGCATTATTTTGTGTTTACCTGGATATTGGATAAATTTAAAAAATCAAGAGAAAGCCCTACATTTTACAAAATTAAATTTGAGTCTGACAGTGCCATTTCCGGCCATGGTAGGACTGAGGTGGTTCCTGTTTAAAATTTCAGCATCCGGGCCACTGTTTAATGTTGTACTTTCATGGTAAATCATCTTCTATCTAGAATCTTATTGTTGGAATATGGACAATGATTAATACTTAAACATGGGGTTCCGGGAAGACTTTTTTTTCTCTTTCGTAGGATTCACACCCACATTTATTTCAAACAATAAAAGAGAAACATTACAACATTAAGGACGGAATTTTTAAATAGAATATTACGAATAATCCATATACTTAAAACTTAAAATGTCTACATAAATCAGATAAATAATATTAAAATCTAGTCCAATAAAATACAATCTTGCTTATATATCTATTACTTTATTAAGTCCGTCAAGACTTTTGACTTGTCCCGAAAGGTCTGCGAATACAAAAAGTGGGGAAGCACTGGTATAATTAACTGACTTTACTGAAAATATAAACCAAGTGTTTTTTAATTGTTTATTTAAGTTTCATTGGCATTTATTTACAATGAATATCTCAAAAAGACGCCCATACTATCTTGATTAGAAGTCCATAGCTTCTTTTCAAGATAGGCTTCTTTTTGAGATTACGTTTGCGAACTAAAACGTCTGTCTCTTATACACATCA